TTCATGGATCTCATGTGGTCCCGTTTTTCGGCCAAAAAATTGGATCACATGTGATTTGATATCACCATCTTCCCTGGTAAAAGTTTTCCTCTGGAGGATTCTGCAACTACCGGAATAAGGGATATGTGGATGACGCGAGATCAGTATATATGTAGAATGCATGCTATATGGTGGATGCAGCATTGATTTTCGATCAGGCTTCGATAATTTTTGCCGATTCACCGGAATCGTGTGCGATCTAGCCTCGTCATAGTTAGCATAACATTATTCCTTCGCTACTCGCGGAATTCGGGGGCTTCTAAGAATGCTCCATCCAATTCTATCAAGTAGAGGTCTAAGATGACATTTTGGTTCTCTCCAAACTATGTCTCATCTTTGTAACCCTACGAAAGTGGTAGCACGACCTTCGTTCGACAAAGATAAGCTTTAAACCTCGTTCGAACAGATTCACACAAAATATGCCACAGTCGTTTGTAGTCACATCATTATGAACATTCCGACTTTTACAGCCACTACTCGCTCCTTAACTGAATGGTCTTCATTGCGTTTGAAGGCAATAATTCGCAGTGTCATGTGTATCTCCCTCAGATGAACATCTATCTTTTTTTGCTTTTACAAAGTTTTTGATATGTTCACTAGTTGCTCCCGTGAATGCGTCGGTTTTCCCTTAGTTCTTACATGCTTACATGACAGTCGGCTCCGGTCAATGCCATCAAAGGATCATCATCTACTGTTAAGGTGAAAAATGCCGAAAGAATAGTTGTGATCCTTTCTCCACAAATGCTCTGCGATGAGACACCAATTAGGCTATTCACGCTAACGCGTGCTTTGTATCTCTACCTGTATGATGTATCAAAATGAGATCTCTAGATTTGAACGCTGGGACCGCATCGAGGGCGTCCGCTCCTATTTCATCGAGGCAGAACTATAGATGGCTAATCATTGCCCCGTCCACCTCATTGCCAACCCCCCCCCCCCCCCCCCCCCCCGCTTGACGCTCTCGACGCTCGCTTGAGAGATTTGACCGCATCTCTTCTGTTACCCAGATGCAAACTCTGCCATTCTTTAGGAATTTAGCCAGATACTTTGCATTACCTCCAATCACTTTTTTCCTGCGTTTTAGAATGCCTCGAACTGAGTTATGAACTTCTAATCTTAGTCCTGCCCCCCTTGGTGCGAGCCCTGCCCTTTTCAAGATTTTGACCTCACTTTTTCTGCAGTCTCTAACCACTTATTTTCCACGTTGTGGAACGTTTTTGAACAGAGTCATAACTTGTTTAAAAGAGGACCTATCAACACCCCGCCCATTTGGGCGGAGCCTCGCCATGTTTACAAATGACCGGCACGCATAAGGCGTTGCTCATTTCCAGTTCTCAACGCGTTCGCTGAATCGAGTTATGAACTTACAGGGTATGTACCGCTCACTGCGATAACGCTCCGGCCACTGCCGTTGAGTACCCTTTATTTCACTTATTGACCCACCCCTCACATTTGCTCATTTTTCCGGCGTCTGGGCTGTTATGCAACCTAGTTGAGGGGTCTGCCCACGATACCGCCCACTCCTGTGCATGCCCCGATCCTTGTGGGCTGTGCTCCGCTGAGCTCACATATGCTTTTTTGGTCTTGCCCCACGCACAACCCATCCCACACTTGACCAGACTTCTGTAAGTGATTCTTTATGTAATATCAAATTTCGCAGACAGGCAGCAGGCAGACAGGCAGGTAGGCAGGCAGATCGGCAGACAGACAGACGGACGCGATATAATATGCCTAATATATAGTATGACTGTCAGGTTTTTATATATCATGGGAGTCGTCAGCAGCTCATAGCCAATAGAGATAAACAAGTGAGTGGAAAAGCTCCATCCGACTCCTCATGTTCAAAATGATCCTAAATCAATCTCGAAGGCTGATACAACTATCGACGAGTTTGCTTCAGTATGCCGAGATTAATCGAAAGTCGGACATGGGAAATGGGAATGGATTTGACCAATTTATTCTTATAGAAAAAGTACAAATAGATACCTGTAACATATATACATATATACATATATCGAATAAAAAGTGTTAAGGCATTCAAAAAGCTTCTCAGACAAATGTTTGGAGGGATCGTTTTCAAAAATAGCAACTATTCCTGAACGACCCAATATAAGTACCCAAATTAAACTTGCAGTGAATCGTGGCATAGTTTTGAACGGTCTTCTGGGCTATTTAAAACCCAATACGAGTTGAATTTTATCACATGCGTGATCTACTAAAATACAAAATGGAACTAATCACCACAGAACCTTGGTCTTTCGATAACGAAACAGTAATACAATATAGGGATGGGATGTACTAGAATCTTTCAAAACAAACTTCTCATCAGAATTTGTATGTAATTGTCCTGCTGTTGTGGGCTCACAACTACTCTAGTTAATCTCCTTAGACAATGCTTATTATAAGTGCCTCTTGGGACGATATCGAAGGCATGACCTAGCGGTATCATAAGAGTACTATCAAGTAGTTAACCCAAGCCTTGCTGTTGGCGCGGTGCTCCCTTTTATTCCTTATCTTAATCGTACTTACACATGTATATAAGCCTGCAGATTTGTACATATATTATAGTCGGTCACTTTACTTGTCGTAATAAGCAATTACACGTATACTGTACAAGTCCATTGGTCTACCAAACCTGCCTTTTAGCAGCTCATCGCGCTGTGCTACAGATGCTTCTCATGCACCCAACATGGTTTACATTCAAGTAGGTAGGAACTACGATATTCTTGATGCTGCTGTGCTGTGCTGAACTTTTGCACTTAGCATATCTGGGATATAGCTCAAAAGACTCGTAGAGTCGGGAAACATGGTATCACTCAACCATACTTAGGAATTTGACCAGGAAATCGTTCAGTTTTTTGACCCCTATGTTTTGACTGACTCAGCAACGGTTGCATTTTCGAAACTTTGGAGACTTTTTTGACCTACCAGACTCTTAAGTAGAAGCCTCTGATTCGGTTAATTCATGAACGTGACATCAATGATATTCATAACCGGAGTATTGAAAGGCAAGCCTGAGGATGGCGTAACTGGGAACAAGCAAAATAAAGTAAGCAAAGTGATCATGTAGAAGAGGACAGTGGAGATTTCAACTACTGAGACCATTTCGTTCTGCAAAACAGCACGGTACTGGCCAGGATTGACCATTTCCCTTGAGTACTCTTAAGAGAGAGGATACTTGAATTTCGATTCATTTCGCGAAGTTCCTCCGAAAGTTCCAAGCCGCTCTGTTTTGCTGCCATATTCTTAGAGGGCTTTTCCACCGACAGTAAAGCCGTGCTTTGTAAGAGACCCGATCCAAGCCGATGCCAAAGGGGTGGTGGGTAGGATTCGGTGATCATTGAGCAGTAGATATCCGTACTACTTAGAGGCGTGACCATCTTAGCGAGACCTCTTTTTTTTTATGGAGCAGGAGAAAAGTTCTTGCTACTAAAATATTGGTCAGGTGCGGAAGTCCTTGCTATATTTGCTCTATCTCAAGTTATCTTGCCGCTCGCTAAATTTTGCGAGTGCTGGCTCTGTAAGAGCGGTATAGTGCACCTGAATGACTCACTAGACATCTGATTGGGGGACCAATGCCGAGTACAGCAAAAGTGGTCCTAGTTGAAAATTCTGCTCTTCGGCCACTTATTTACTACGAGTACACTTAAAGCACTCATTTGAAGAAGCCACGGGTAGTGTTGGTGTGCATTTGACGATAATATCTTTTGTCGTTTTACAATGTCTCGCTGGCTGTAACGCTTCGAGCATGGATAGTAGTCTTGCTGGTGTTAAAGTCAGTCAACCGATAAAAAAGTTCAATCACTTCAATTCTGGAAGCTAATCCAGAATCTGAAACGCTAGACGTATGTGAATCAGTTCGGATATCCTATACAACAGTCAACAGGCTTCAATATCATGGTGGCTTTAGGAAAGTCCATGCATTACGGGTGCTTGATTAACTGATCAACTGTCCAAGTGCCTACTACAGTAGTCTTTGCTCTGTCGTCCTAGTTCGAGAGCAGTTCTCAGGGAAATCGTTACTGAGGAGGGAAAGCAGAATACCCTATATGAATTATGCAGCTGGCGACAGTGCCTTGAAAACAGATGCCGCAAGTAAGTCCTAATTGTTAAGAACGAAAAGATATAGGGTGTTCTTGTAATCCAACCACTTACAACTACCACAACACTTTGGCACCTCAAAACACTATTTGCACTATGTGAGATATAAGAGCTCCGTTGATTTCCCTATCCTCCAATCCTGTGAGCGAGATTTTTTCGGATCGCAGCACACTAAATTCTCGGATAAGAGCTTGAGCAACCGCCAAAGCATTTGGCACAAGTAATAGAAAGCTACGGCGAATACAAGTTTTTCCACGAGCACAACAGCAACAGCACACGAGGGTGAATACTATTCCTTCGGTTAAAGTTTTGCCGATTTTCGCCATCTTCGGAGCTCTAAAAATGTGGAAACCAATCTATGATTTTTTAGGTCCCGTGGGGGGTGAGACATTTGGTCGGGTGAAAAAAAAATCGTAGACTGATTTCTACATTTCTAGGCTTCGAACGAGGTGAAAATTGCCAAAAGGTCAGTCGACGGTATTGATTCAACATTGTGAAGGAAAATGAATTTGTATTGGAACTATGCCGAGGTCTATCGAGAGTCGAACGTGGTTCCATAATGGAGATTTGAAAAAAGTGTCGCTTGTAGCAACACTTGATCACCAACCTGATACTTTTCTTTCCTCTTTTTAGGTGAGGAGATATATATATATATATATATATATATATCTGAGTGTTCAACGGTGTTCTTTATTATGGCCTAATGACTGAAATTTTTTGAAAAGTATCTTGTGGCTTTAGTGATTTATTACAGGCAGCGGAGTATCAATAGTCCGACAGAAGACGTTCAAAATACGATAATATCTCAGAACCGATTTCTCAATTCTGAAATTATTCGGCTGAATCGGCAATGCTGCGAGATGCAGAAAGATGTTACGCGTCTTACACGGTAAGACCACTAATCTTATTAGATAATTCACTTGCGTCGTCTTCATTGAGGTGATAAACTTCGTTTTTTTTTCGCGTGTACATGTTATGGTTTTTACTTCAATGTGTCGCTGCCCTGTTTGCCCTCTGTCCTAGAGCCTCTCTTATGAGAGAAAAGGACTCTCCTCGTAACATAAAGAGTTTGGTTAGCGCTAGGTCACAGTGACGTGTTTGGCGTAAATGTTACTGTGGCATGACTGTAGCAGAGCGATAGGAGAATAAGCATTCGTTGGTTGGTTGGTTGGAATTAGCAACGTTGAATTTGATATTGCAGCATATATGCTCGTGCAAACTAAACCGTAAATGATTAAATTTTGAATGAAGATGTGACTTGAAGTAGTTGGGGAACGACAGGTAAGATCAAATCCCTGGAGGAATAGATGAGAATAAATTTATCTTTAGTGATCATCTATGCATTGCAAAAAGCATGTCCCGCATGGCAAGATATTGAGGCTGAGCAGCAATTTTTTGCAGCATTCAATACAGATGTAAATGTTAGGGAATCACTTCTTTTCCATTTACCCCCGTCCACTAACAGTTTCCTAAATCAGTATATTATATGGTCCCTCTGCAAGATTGAAAATGATTATGTACATAACTTCCAACTAACTGACGGCGGAAGAAATTGAGCTGTTTTTTTTCACAACTTTAGAGAGTTACGGGACGCTCGCGAGGTCATACATCGGTCCCGAAGAGAGTATGTCTTTGCTCTCCAATCCGCGATACGAATACCGCTGCATGATAACAATGCCCTTGATGTGATGCATGTCAAGCTACATGGCGGAGATATGGTATCAAAATTTGCCTTGTACTGTTTGTCTGCTCGCAAACTTTGAGCAATCATTATATTTCCAGCACAAGCACAGAATCTGTCAACTAATGAGTGAAGCCCGAGCGAATCAGCCAAGTTTGCCAACGCTTCAAAGGTTGGTATGGATTAGATCAAAAAACTCGTCATGAGTAGCCTCGCTACGATCAGTTGGAGAGTATATACGTCTCTCAAGGATGCACAACGCGCGTTTATGGGGTGACATAGCGGATACGGTTGAGAACGCACCTCTGACAGGGGAAGGATACTTGGTCGCAGTGACTGTTCAAGATGAGGTATACAAATCTGCTGAACGATTCTGGGAACAAGTTTACGGGACTGATGCCTGCCTGTGTTATACCACTGTATCGAACAGATGATCGAGCCGAGCAAAGCGTAGATGTGCAACGGTGGCGCAGCTGGTAGGGTGTGGCGATGTTCGATTTCTTGATGCATGCGCTCTTTTTTCTTGTCCATGGAATACATAGTAAACGCTCGCAGAACTTTTTGGGCTCGTGGGAGCTCGTTTTTGGGCTCTTTAAATGGAAGCGCTCTCCCATTTAAGGAGTACGGGGTTCACTTCTGACCGAATGGGTTCGCCTTTCTTTCCCAACAGTCAAGATGGTGTTTTGAAATTTTCGACGCACCCCGCACTTAATGTAGAAGGCGGTTGACTCATCTGAGCAGAACCTTCTTGGGAAGGGTGGTTATATATTGTAACCACTATTAGGTGTGTGCAGTGATTTCCGCCGCCGGAATCGAAGAGTCGTTGCGCGAACCATGTTGGAGGTTTACCTGTGAAACTTGTCGTAATATGTGAGATAGAGATAGGGTATTGGCTAACTATTTAAGGGCAGACAGTTCAGTTTTTTCCCCAAAATCCCGTTGCTCTCAAAGTGATTGTTCACGGAGCGTAATAAATCGTTTCTCCGGGAGGTCTTTCTCCTGCTGTTTGATTTCAAGAAAACTGTCAGTGAAGCTCACCGGATGCTTCTCGTGACTTACGTAGAACAAGCTCTATGTGAACGAACTTGCAGCTCTCACCGAAAAGCGGCCGTTAATCTCATGAAACATCATAAGGACCACGACAATTCCAGACCTCATGTTGCAAAGATTACCCTTAGAAAATTGCTCATCTCGTATGGGATCAGCATGTTCAGCCCGCATACTCCCCTCATCTTGCTCCATCGGATTACCACTAATTCCGGTTAATGCAAGCCAGTTTGGCAGATACACGCTTCCGGAATGCCGAAGAAGTGCGGAAATGGATGGATGACTGGATTGATCCAGAAGATGGAGACTTTTTAGACTCGGAGTCAACAAGCTACCAGGAAGATGGCAAGAATTTGTAGCTAACGATGGGCAATACATTGGTTGAAGTACAATTTGTTTCAATTTTGTAATAAATATGTTTTTGCACGCAAAAAACGGCGGAAATTAATGCACACACCTAATATTTCTCTACAAATGTGCGAGATTTTCCCGCGCAGTCATGGGACTATCGCTGTTATCTCCAGAGGCAGAGGATCATTATGATCGCTGCTCACGCACTCGTCTTCCTCTTAGTGATTAACGAGCTTGTTTTCATAGCATCGGAGTGCAGAGTTGAAAAGCTCTTTATAACCTCCGTTTCCTCTTAGATGGTGCTCATGCTCTCATGCTACGAAAAACCTACACTAAAGATCGTGACACCGACTCGAGTCAAAATATTCCGCTGGTAACATATTGAACGTTATATCCAATGAAACAATTGGAACTTTTCTCCTTGGAGCTTCTGAAGCACTTTTCGTGCAAACGTTCATACATTCTCAGTGTTCCTAACTTGTGAAGAAGCTACGTAGGTAGCCAACATTGTGTCCGAACATGTTTTGAATGCGTTCAGGGAGCATTTTATAGGGAAGCAAAATGAATGCAAGGAGCCGAACCTTGATGGCATGTCCATCAGCTGCACATATCACCAGCTGCGCGACCATTGCACAGCTACGGCTTTGCTCGGTTTGATGATCCGTTCAGTACAGTGGTTAATACAGGGAGGCACTGGTCTCGTCAAATTGTTCCCAGAATCGTTTAGCAGACTTGGAACGCAGACTAGAGATCAGCGTTCGGAACCATCTAAGGCGGTAGATATCTCATCTCAAATGGCCGCTGCGAGCAAGTATCCTTCCCTTATGAAATCGCTTCCCCAAAACTATGTTGCCGCGCAAACAGAAGCATCGGCTAATCGCTCCATCTTCACACTATAAAAGTAGAACGGAACTGTCTCAACTGAAATTTCTATCGCCTTGTTCGGGAGGGAAGGCTGTATTCGAATACAAAACAAGATCAGTACAACGACGTCTATTGGGGAGATCGCAGACAGTGCGGCGAAAGGATGGTCACCCTACCCACAGTTCGCAATGGTTCAAAACCGACATGACAACAAGGATATTCTCTGTGATTCTGAAGTTTTGAGAAACACGTTTTGAGCAGGCGAACAGTCATAAAAGCACTTGATTAATCGTCAATACACCAATTCATTTACTTTTCTGCACCGCTAATCCGTCCGGAACCATAGAAGGTAAGTATGCTCTCATAAGTAGTGAAGCCGCGCTCTGATCAGCCTCTGTCGTCAATCCATCACCTTTTTTTCATAGAACAATAGTGGTGCAATAAACGTAATGTTTTCACCAGGTTGTAAGAAAAAGTAGGAATTGTCGAAGCCTTAGAGTCGCGTTCTGACATACATTTATCCATATTTCTTCATTTCTCTTGTAAACTACCTCGTACTAAGGTTGCTGCCTCCTTCAAAATTGTGCTAAAATCCGTTTTTTAATTTAGCACGGAGTTTGCGTACATTCATGGAAATACTGCTAGGTATTTAGAGTTCCTTTTTTATTTTTTAAAACCGTCTCCGGAATTTAGCCTGCTCAACGGCGTCTACGTGGATATCTTCGGATTTCGCCATAGATATTCTGATGAGGGATTGGCAATCCACTATATGGCCATGCAACTGCATGAATATTACCAAAGTGTGTTCTTCCTCATTTCATCGAAACATTGATAAACCTTGAAGTATTTCATGAGCGAGAAAATCAAAAACTGGCTTGTCAGTGGCGACAGGATCAAATGAGATCTGAAGAATCGTAGAGCGTAACGCAAGGCAGCTATTTATGAGTAGGCGGTGAGGAAATTTGTGGGCCTTGTAACGTAAAGGTCAGAATCCAGTTAAGCGAGGGTTGTACCACTGTAGCTGTCATGCGACACATCGTTTTTCTGACCCAATGACCAATCTCAAAGTGTTTACGTTTCCTACTTTTTCATCCTTCTTTATAACAGGGTGCTAGCTCGAGTGCACTAAACGGTGCCGTTACAACAAGCAATGTCCACGAACCTAAATCTCGACCAAGTTTTGTCTAGCCGGAGAGTGGTTCCAACTTGCACGTTAATTATGATCTCTCCTTAGTTTTGAACATCTAAACATACGATCACCGATCACCTTCAATTGGATACGTGGAAAATTCAACATTAGAGAAGCAACCAAAATGAGTGTGTGGGGAAAGCATGTTGTTTGAAATTTTCGCATTTTATAAATGCGTGCTGTGGGTGCTTCCCTACACCCATTCAGGTGTGAATCAATTGCCTTAACACTGCACACGGTGCATAAGGAAAGATCAGAATTATGACGCGGCGAACCCAGAAAGCACTTGCTGTTACACTACTAATCAGTCATCACTTATTAAATCGTGAGACTTTTCCTATCGCTTTAGTACATGTATCATGAAAAAGTCGTACGTATGATATGCAGTAATCTTCTCCTTCAAGAAACTGCGATGAGCGTGCACGATGGCATTGTTAAGGAGCTTACTTAAATGAATGTCAGAACGGGAGGCATGAATGAATTATGAAATACACCGACACACACACCGACATGCACGCAGACCGACACATACACCGACACACATTTACACACATCGGAATCGTCACCTACACACGATAGCGCTTTGTATATACAGTGCATCGCAAAATGATACAGCCACCTCTAATTTTCCCAAAAACTCAGTATATGATGTTTCTGAAAAACTGCCAAAGTAAAAAATGTGTCAAATTTGAATTGCAATTCGCACATTATCACCAAATTCCAGCTCGAAAACACAGACATTTTTTTGGTCAATTTTTCAATAAAGGGTGCTTTTCCAACGTCGCAAAATGATACAGCCACT